AGACGGAGTCTTGCTTTGTCACCTAGGCTGGAGTGTGCAATGGCGTGATCTCGGTTCACTGCAGCCTCTGCCTCCAGGGTTCAAGCAATTCGACTGCCTCAGCCTCCTGAGTAGCTGGGACTACAGCAGGGCGGCACCATGCCCTGCTAATTGCTGTAGTTTTAGAGAGGAGGTTTCACCATGTTGGCCAGGATAGTCTTGATCTCCTGACCTCATGATCCGCCAGCTTCGGCCTCCCAAAGTGCTGGGATTACAGGCATGAGCCACTGCGCGGGGACTGTGTCCTTCTTAAGAGCAAAGCAATGCCAACAACCCCCAAAGCAAAAGCGCTGGAGGGCAGTGCTGCCTTTTCAGTTCTCAAAGCCTGCATATTCCTAGGTATGTTGCATAGACTTTCCCTCCAGGAGGTGAGGTTGCTGTAGTAAGGAGTTCTCACTCCTCCTTGGCCAGCTATTCTCTAGCGGTGAATTCCCAAGGCAGACGTGGTGCAAAGCCTGGCCTAGAGGAGAGAAACTCGCAGCTCTCACTGGGATGGCAGCAAGCACTGGTCCATTTCCTCTGCTTCTGAGCCGTGCCAGGGTTGCGTAGGCTGTTTGGAAGAAACAGGCTGTGAGCCCTTTGAATTGCCTAAAGAGAGGGCAAAGCCATCTATACTCTCAGGTGAGGTTATCTTTTATTTTTTATTTTTTTGAGACAGAGTCTTGCTCTGTCGCTCAGGCTGGAGTGCAGTTGTACAGTCTTGGCTCACTGTAGCCTCCACATCCTGGGTTCAAACGATTCTTCTGCCTCAGCCTCTCGAGTTGCTGGGATTACAGGTGTGCACCACCACACCTGGCTAATTTTTGTATTTTTAGTAGAGATTGGGTTTTACCATGTTGACCAGGCTGGTCTCGAACTACTGACCTCAAGTGATCCACCCTCCTTGGACTCCCAAAGTGCTGGCATTACAGGTGTGAGCCATCGCGCCTGGCCAATGCTCTCTGGTGAGATTATCTAATTTTGGGCTGATCACCTGGAGAGGTGAGGCCCAGGAGGGAAATTAGAAACACAGAAAGAATGTTCAGAATCTATGAGGCTCATTAAATTACACAGAGAAATAGAAATGTGATGTGAACCAGATGTGCATACAGGCTTGGAAAGTTTTTCAGGAACGAGTTTTCCTTTTAAAAAAAGTTATGTATTCATTCCTTGTAAATAGGTAATCCAGGCCAGGCATGATGGCTTATGCCTATAATCCCAGCACTTTGGGAGGCCAAGGTTGGAGGACTGCTTGAGCCCAGGAGTTCAAGACCGGTTTGAGCAACATAGCAAGATCCCATCTCTAAAAAAAAAAAAAGAATAAAAGACTGGGCATGGTGGCTCACACCTGAAATCAGCACTTTGGGAGGCCAAGGTGGGCAGATCACATGAGGCCAGGAGTTTAAGACCAGTATGGCCAACATATTGAAACCCTGTCTCTACTAAAAACACAAACATTAGCTGGGCATGGTGGCGGGTGCCTGTAATCCCAGTTACTCGAGACACTGATGCAGGAGAATTGCTTGAACCCGGGAGGCAGAGGTTGCAATGAGCTGATATCATGCCATTGCACACCAGCCTGGGCAACAGACCGAGACTCTGTCTCAAAAAAAAAAAAAAAAAAAAAAAGCAGGGAGTGGGTGGCGTGCAGCTGTAGTCTTAGCTACTCAGGAGGTTGAGGTGGGAGGATCGCTTGAGCCCAGGCGTTTGAGGCTGCAGTGAGCTATGACTATGCCACTGTACTCCAGTCTGGGTGACAGAATGAGGGCCTGCCTATTAAAATAAGAAAAAAAAAAAAAAAGATAATCCAAGCACATAGCACATAATTTTTTTTTTTTTTTTTTTGAGACGGAGTCTCACTCTGTCAGCCAGACTGGAGTGCAGTGGCATGATCTCTGCTCACTGCAAGCTCTGCTGCCTTCTGGTTCACGCCATTCTCCTGCCTCAGCCTCCCTAGAAGCTGGGACTACAGGCGCCCGCCACCACGCCCGGCTAATTTTTTTGTATTCTTAGTAGAGACGGAGTTTCACCATGTTCGCCAGGATGGTCTCGATCTCCTGACCTCGTGATCTGCCCGCCTCGGCCTCCCAAAGTGCTGGGATTACAGGTGTGAGCCACCGCGCCCGGCCAGCACATAATTTTTTAAGGTGCCAAAGAGTACATAGCTAAGAATTAGTCTTTTTCCTACTCCTGTGCCCAAGTCCTTCAGTTTCCCTCTCAGAGACAAAACTGTTACCAACTTAATGTGTGCATCTTTCTTGATATTGCCTCTGAAAATAAGAAGTGTGTGTGTGTGTGTGTGTGTATTTTAAATATATACAAATGGGTATATTATACACACTGTTTTGAACTTTGTTCTTTTCACTTGAGTATGTTTTGGAGTTTCTTTTCCTACTAGCAGATGTACTATATGTGTTGGGGCAGATTTAGAAAGCAGGAGAAGTTCATCTTGTTCTCAATAGCCCTGAGCTTTGCTTCAGATCAAGCTGCTTCTTACTTCTGCCTCAAAGGCTGGACCCTGTCAGCTACAGACAGTGTAGTTCCTGGGTCACCTGAAGCTGCCCTGCTCAGTGAGACATCCTGCCATGTGACAGGTTTCACTGAAAGGATTGTGTCCTTTGTTCTTACTGAATTCCCACATCTAGAATTCGTTCTCACAGTTTAATACGTGGTAGGAGGACCGGTGTCAGCTCCCCATGTGGTTACTCAATTCTTCTTCCAGGTCTTATAGGTGGGGGAAGGATTTTCTGGGCAGTGTGGGAGGTCATCTCAGATCTCCATCTCCACTTTGTGGAGAGAGCCTGGCAGGGGCTGTGCACCGGCGGTGGCTTCTGTATTACTGAGGTCATGGTGAGTCCTTTTCCTGAAGAGGTCTGAAATGTAGAAAGCAGAATGGAACTTGGCCCTTGCTTAACTGGTTAGAGGATCACCTGAGGTCAGGAGTTCGAGACTAGCTTGGGCAACATAGCGAGACCCTGTCTCTAAAAACAAAACAAAGGCTGGGCGCGGTGGCTCACACCTGTAATCCCAACACGTTGGAAGGCGGAGGCAGGCGGATCATCTGAAGTCAGGAGTTCGAGACTAGCCTGGCCAACATGGTGAAACCCTGTCTCTACTAAAACTACAAAAAAAAAAAAATTATCTGGGCATGGTGGCAGGCGCCTGTGATCCCAGCTACTGGGGAGACTGAGGCTGAAAAATCACTTGAACCCGGGAGGTGGAGGTTGCAGTGAGCCAAGATCATACCATTGCACTCCAGTCTGGGCAACAAGAGAGAAACTCCATCTCAAAACAAAAACAAACAACAAAATTGCTGTCTACTGTCTTATAGTCAGTTTTCTTATCTGTGTGTGTGGGTGTGTGGGTGTATACATACATATATATATATTTTTTGTTTGTTTTGGGTGAGAGGCAAGGTCTCACTCTGTCACCCAGGCTGGACTGCAGTGGTGCCATCACGTCTCACTGCAGCCTAGAACTCCTGGGCTCACAGGATCCTTCTGCCTGGGCTTCCCAAAGTGCTGGGATTACAGGAGTGAGCCACCACACCCAGTCAGTTGGTTATCTGTAGAAGGAGATATATGTACCTTAGACAGTTGCTGTAAAGATCAAATGAGGTCCACACAAAAACTTCTACACAAATGTTCATAGCAGCATCATGAATAATAGCCAAAAAAGTAGAAACAGATGTCTATCAATGGATTAATGGATAAATAAAAGGTGATGTCCAGCCAGGAATGGTGGCCATGCCTGTAATCCCAGCACTTTGGGAGGCCAAGGCAGGCAGATCACTTGAGGCCAGGAGTTGAAGATCAGTCTGGGCAACTTGATGAAACCCCATCTCTACTAAAAATACAAAAATTAGCCAAGCATGGTGGCATATGCCTGTAATTCCAGCTACTTTGGAGGCTGAGGCACGAGAATCACTTGAGCCCGGGAGGTGGAGGTTGCAGTGAGCCAAGATCACATAACTCCACTCCAGCCTGGGAGACAGAATGAGATTCTTCTCAAAAAAAAAAAAAAAAAAAAAAAAAAAAGTGATGTCCGTACAATGGAATATTATTTGGCCATAACAAGGAATGAAGTGCCGATACATGCTACGACATGGATGAACTTTGAAAATATTATACTATGTGCAAAAGAAGGTAGTTACCTTCTTGGGTTCAAGCAATTCTCCTGCTGCAGCCTCCCGAGTAGCTGGGACGACAGGCGTCCACCACCATGCCCAGTTAATTTTTGTATTTTTAGCAGAGACGGGATTTTACTATGTTGGCCAGGCTGGTCTCGAACTCCTGACTTCAGGTGATTCACTAGACTTGGCTTCCCAAAATGCTGTAATTAGAGGCATGAGCCACCGCACCTGGCCTAGTAGACAGCAATTTTGAATACAGCTGTTAGATTCTGCACTCATGCCTTCTCTAATCCATGTCAACACAGTAGAAATAATTGCTTTGACAGAACCTGGTGTGGACGTGTCTCCAGGAAGAAACTGTAAAATGAATGGATCATTTTGTGAAATGTCTGCCCTTTCCCCACCTTTCTTTTGCCTCTTTGCCTTTTTCTCCCTTCCTAGTTTTTCTTTCTTTCTTTTAGGGCGTCAGCCTCCCACCTCTGTGGTTGGGAGGGACTATTGCACGTCTACACTCTCGGTGCGGATGAAATAGTGTTTGCGTTCGTTATCTGCATTTGCGCGTTATCTCCCCCAGGAGATGACAGCTCCTCTGCCAGCAGCTGGCAACGGTGGGCTCTGAAGCAGAGGAGGGGAATTATCAGGAAAAACTCATTTTATTGTCCTGTCCTAGGGTTTCACTGATGAAGGCCTCTGGGCTACCCACGTGGGGGGTGGGGGCGGTGAGACCGCCACCTGCCCGCGGCTCCCCTGCAGCCAAGCCACGCGCGCCGTTGCTAGGGCAACCACCCCGCCAGGCCGGCTGCTGCCGGGAAGCCCCCTCGGGAGCGCGCACGGGCAGGGCTGTGGGGGCGCGGGCCGGCTGCGACGTCAGACCCCCGCCCCTCGGCGCCTGCCGGACCCAGCTCCATCCCCAGCTCCACCTCCCTCAGTGGGCAGCCGGCCGGAACCCACGAATCAGAGCAGCCGACACATCGCCCGCTCACCCAATCGCAGCAGTTGTGTGATCCCGCCACCGCCCCGGACCCTGGAGGTCCGCGCTGAGGCGGCGACCGCGGGAGTCGCTGCTGAGGCGGCCTCGTGTGCGGGTCGGAACGGCGCTCTTCTGCGGGGCCGGTCCGGGCTGGCAGCTGCTGGCGCCTGGCGGTGAGGGCGGGCTCCCGAGTGGCCCCCCACCGAAGGCGGTGGGACTAGCGGCTGAGGCCAGGATGCCGTCCAGGCGGCGCGGCGGCTCCTCACTCTTCCCAGGTAAGGGGGACGCGGCGCTCGCTGCGGCTCCGCTCCCCTCTCGTCTCCTCACTCCCGGCCCCGAGCCCCGTCCTGGCATCCGTTGGCCCCTTGTCGCCTCCTGCCCGCTGCCTCCCGGTTGTCCAGCCCCGCCTCCGAGCGCGGAGCCCCGAGTCTGGCCCGTCCAGCCCCTGCTCCCACGCCCCTTCCCCCATCGCCGGCGTTTCCCGGGCTCGGCTTCTTCCCGGCCGCGGGGGCCTCTGCCCTCTGCCCCTTCTCTCCCTTCTCGCAGCCCTGGGACCACGTCCTAGCCCCGCAGTCCCCAGGGATGAGACCCTCGTCTCGCCGGGATCGGACATTTTCCCCCACCTCTACCCCGGCTGCGCTTCTCGAGCTCATCGCCCCATCATCCTACCCTTTGTACGTTGTCCTGTCTGCATGGCAGTCCCCTGCCCCGCTCCAGGTGTCCCTGGGTCTTGCCCTTTTGCTCCTAAGTACCTTCCTTTCCCAACTCACCTCTTCTCCCCTCACTTTGACCACCCACCATCGCGATCTCCTTTTCCTTCCCTTACACTTAAACCTCCAGACACTTTCCCACTCTCTGGAATGCCAGATCCATCGTTTTTTTTTTTTTTTTTAAGAGAGAGAGTCTCGCTATGTTGCCCAGGCTGGCCTCGAACTCCAGACCTCAAGCGATCCTTCTGCCTCGCCCTCCAAAGTTTTGGGATTACAGGCGTGAGCCACTGCGCCCGGCTCAGGTCCATAGTGTAATATCTTCATTCGTCCTTACATGAGCTGCACCCCATAACATGTAAACTCCCTTTCCCAGAGTCTAGCACACAGTAGGCCTGGCATATGGTGGGTGGTCACGCATGTTAGCCTCTTCCTCCTTCCAGGCCTTTTGTACTTTCCAGATGATGGTAGCAAGAAGTCCATTGTCCACAGGGATTTGACTCTGCTTGAAGAATGGTATGGGAGATGGCAGGAGAAATTGGTGAACTCCAGTAAAGCGATTAAATGGTCACTTACTTACTGCATTCATTAAGAAGAAACAATTCTACTATCTGTACCATGTATTGTTTTATGTTAATTGCCTTTGTAAAGGATTCTTAGGCTGCTAGTCAGCGAGCTTTACAGTATAATTACTCCCCATCCCCTCTCCATCCCCATCTGCAGTGTTTAGGGAACCTTTCTTTTTAGGAAAGAAAGAGCCCCTACCTCCCAGCTAAAATGGCGTAGTATATAAGCAGTGTTTCTCGTGGTTATCTATTAGCTGGATAGTCCAGGGAGCTTCAATGAATTTTCATCTTTTAAGAACCAGAAGGAATCAGGATTTGGATTTCCTGGAATCAGCTGCTGTACAGACCAAATATGCTTGAGAATGAAACTTCTGACAAGTCCTCTAAGAGTGAGAGAGGAATTATCCACCCCTCTCCCTCCGCCTCTCCAAGCACTCGCTCTCGGAGGAAGTAGCGAGTCGATTTTTAAAAAAGAGTAAAATACGTTTGACTTTTTAAAATGATAAAAGCATTGTCATTGGCCCTGTACTATTCTTGCCACCTTTGCTCTGATGCTCTCAAGCCTGGACAATCAGTCAGCTTTTTCTGCTCCTGGGCTCCCAGGGCAGGCTGGCGAAAATCATGTAACTAAGCTGCTGGGTGCTGTTTCTGCACACTTCTGGATTCTGGAGATCCTTTGACTTACTCTCTAGATTCCGCTTATGTCCTAAAATCTAAATGGCTGTTTATAGATCTTCACCGTTCTTCTCTGACTCTTTGTCCTACTCTTGCCTTCGCTTCATTGCTTATTTTGCCACTTAACTCCACAGAAGAAATTGGTGGGCATCGGCCCTGAACTCTTAAGGAGCTGTCATTTTTGTCTGTGCCTGTCTGTCCCTGATTTCTAATATCCTTTCCTTTGATCTCAGAGGAAGAGGGGTCTTCCTTTCTAAAGCTAATCTCTTCCCATATTATTATTTTTTCTGTTGGACGGTATACATCCTCAGGTTTCCATCATTCAGACCAAAACAAAGCTTTTCTTGATGCTTCCCTTTTCTTTTTTTATTCTTCTCAGATTAACGTGGCATTCCTTAGGGTTGCATTTTTGTTTTTTTCTCTAATTTCCTTGTGTGATTACATGTCCTTTGGTGGCTTCAAATAGCACCTGTATATTTATGGTTTTTGAAGACGTCTATTTGGTCCCCATTTCTCTGGAACCTCAGGTTCTAATTTTCATCTGCCTTCTGCATAGCTGTATGTGGATGCTTGATTACTTCAAATGTGGTTACCTTTTCCTTCCCTTTCTTTCCACCCATAGCCCCCTTCAAGCACATATACAAACATTCCTATTTTAAGATCTTTACTCTAGAAACCTTAAAATCATCTTCTTTTCTCCTCACATTAAGTCTAGCATAGATCCTATTGTTGCTACCTCAGATCTTTTTTTTCCCTCTCTTCATAAGATCTTTTTTTCCTCTCTCTTCATTGCCAGAAGACTGGTTCAGACCTTGGTTATGCTTTTTCTGAACCTCTGCGTCCTGTAGTTCTACTTCATCCTCCACATTGCTGCTGGAATTGGTTCCATTTCTGAGACATCAATCTGATCATGCTGCTTGTTTTCTTTAAAAATTCTCAGCAGCTCCCAAACCCTTAGTATGTTGAGCCAGTCCTTCCAGGCCTTCTGCAGCATGGGCGCATCTCCTTCCTGGACCCTTTGTGATCCAGAGAAAAAAGCGGTAAAGAAACAGACCATTCACTATAGTACAATCAAGACTTTGACAGAGATGACTACAGGGTGCTCTGGGAGCATCACCCTGGAGTGAGGACATGTTTCTGTCGACAGGCATCTAGGACTTTTTCTGACTACCCTTTCTCCTCAGTTTGGGTTAGGTGACTTTTCTTTGTGTTCCCACAGCACTCTGTACATACTTCCATCTCCATTTTTACCACTTACACCATTTTTACTTTTTTTTTTTTTTTTGAGACACAGTCTTGGTCTGGTGCCCTGGCTGGAGTGCAGTGGTGCCATCTCAGTTCACTGCAACCTCTGCCTCCTGGGTTTGAGCAATTCTTGTACCTCAGCCTTCCGAGTAGCTGGGATTACAGGCGCCCGCCACCACACCCAGCTAATTTTTGTATTTTTAGTAGAGACGGGATTTCACCATGTTGGACAGACCAGTCTTAAACTCCTGACCTCAAGCAATCCGCCCGCCTCAGCCTCCCAAAGTGCTGTGATTACAAGGGTGAGCCACTGTGCCCAACCCATTTTTACTATTTATAATGTTCTGTTTTCTTATTTTTCTCCCTGACTTGAGAGTGAACTCTTTAAGGAAAAGGGTTGCGTCATATCTCATTGTATCTCCAGTTTCTAGCAAATTGCCAGGCACATAGCGCTCAGTAAACTAAGTTTTCAGAAGAGCTGAATCTAGACAAGGAAAGGTAAGGGGAGATGGGCATTTTGGAAGAGAGGGTAACATACAGAAAAGTGTGTCATAGGCTGGGTGCGGTGGCTCACCCCTGTAATCCCACCATTTTGGGAGGCTGAGGCAGATGGATCAAGACCATCAAGACGGCCGGGCGCGGTGGCTCAAGCCTGTAATCCCAGCACTTTGGGAGGCCGAGGCGGGTGGATCACGAGGTCAGGAGATCGAGACCATCCTGGCTAACATGGTGAAACCCCGTCTCTACTAAAAATACAAAAAACTAGCCGGGCGTGGTGGCGGGCGCCTGTAGTCTCAGCTACTTGGGAGGCTGAGGCGGGAGAATGGCGTGAACCCGGGAGGCGGAGCTTGCAGTGAGCCGAGATCACGCCACTGCACTCCAGTCTGGGAGACACAGCGAGACTCCGTCTCAAAAAAAAAAAAAAAAAAAAAGACCATCAAGACCTGGGCAACATGGTGAAACCCCATCTCTACTAAAAATACAAAAATTACCCAGGTGTGGTGGCGGGTGCCTGTAATCCCAGCTACTCAGGAGGCTAAAAAAGGAGAATGGCTTGAACCTGGGAGGCAGAGGTTACAGAGAGCTGACTCCAGCCTGGGCAAGAGTGAGACTCCATCTCAAAAAAAACAAAAAAACAAAAAAACAAACAAAAAAAACCGTGCGATAACCTGGTGTTTTTGGAAAGAACTGGTAATTTGGAAAGGCTGGAGAATGGGCACGATGAGCGATGAGGCTGGGAAGGTATATAGGAGCCGCTCATGAATGACCTTGTGTGTCCTAACACATAATCTTGATGACAGCGAGGAACCTTTGAAGGATTTCATCCTGGGCAGATCTTACAAAGTCTGGCTTGTTCCCATCTCAGGCTTTGTGTCTTGCTGCATGTGTTACCTTTTGCCTCAGCCATATAAAATCACCTCCATTAGCTGAACATGCCTAAATGGCTTTATGTTTCTCTTTCTCCATAGAATGCATTTTCCCACTTAGGCACCTGTAGATTATACAGACTTCTGGTTACCTCTGCAGTAAAGCCTTCCCACATCTGCCTGCAATCCATCTCTCTTCATCTCTACTGTCATTTACTTGTTTATATGTCTTTCCCTACTCTAATGGTAGGGCTTTGAAATCAGGGTGGGTTTTGATTCATGTCTGCATCCCCTACTCTGGCAGGTAACATGAATGAGTATTGTGACCAGGTATATTTTGATTGTATTTATTTATTTTTCTAGAGATGGGAGTCTTGCTATGTTTCCCAGGCTGGTCTTGAACTCCTGGCTTCAGGTAACCCTCTGCCTTGACTTCGCAAAGTGTTGGGATTATGGGTGTGAGTCACTGCGCCTGGCCCCAGGTGTATTTTCAGAAAAATTACTCTGATCTCTGGTAGCATTGTAGAGAACAGGTTAGAGAGGGGCAAGACTAGGTGTACAAAGACCAATTAAGGCAGTCATTATAGGAATGTAGGTGAAAGATGATGAGGTCAGTGAGGCCAAGAGGTTAGATTTGGGGGTGAATTTGTGGAGTAAGGAGAACTGGTTAGGTGTATAGGTGAGAGAGAGGGAGAAGGAAGGGTCAAGGATGACT